TTCATGGGCGTAGCTAGGATTTTTGCTTGGTGTGGGCCCAGGACTGCAGGCTCTATGGAGACCTCTAAAAAAAGCTCACACATTTGAAAACCTACACTTTTTCGTTTGATTCTAGAAAAAAATTGATTTGATTGGATGGATAATTCGTCTAGTATAGTTTTTCGAAGTCAGTTGAACATGTATAAAAACGCCTATCAATAAAATTTAATCTGTTTCATAGGCGTCCCTAAAAAAGTTTTCTGCTAAAGGTAAAAAAATATAATAATTTGTATATAATATGTAGAAAATTTCTATTATATATTCATTTGACCAACAACATATTTTAATTATTTATGTCCTCCAACAATTTTATTATATTGATGGTAAATTTCGTTTTGTTCCGTTTCAAAAGGTTTCCAAAATCCCATGTTGTAATAATATTAGTAAACAAAAATATCCCTCTTATTTCTCCCTTTCGCAATTGTAATATGAATGATTAATAGAGGATGCCTATAATAAATTAAAATTACCCGAGTCACACCAAATTCCGCATTGCTGCACTGCAGTGCTAGGCCATTTGTTGACAGCTGAATTTATGGCCACATGACCCAGTGCGGCTGTGTTTGTGCTGCATTTGCCTGCGTGCTCATTCTTCAACTGGGCAACCAGACCTATATATGAATATGGCTAAATAAATATGGGAACAAAAGTTTTTCAAATATTTCAATGCCGAGTTGCTGCGTTAGCGACCGAACCTGGTACATACTACCAACCTCTTGGTAGTATGGTTTTTGAAGGCTATAACAACAACAATGCCATTTTTTAAATTTGCAGCATGCAGCAACAATTAGAGGGGACACCGTTCCCGCCTCCTGCCCTCCCCTGCCCCCCTGGCTACGTCCATTGACTTTATTTGATAAGTTTTTTTAGTAAAAATGTTTTGAATTTATATGAATTAACTTCATAATAAAGCAGAATTTAAAATTCGCGAAAAACGTACATTAAATATTAAGATAAATACGAGGCTGAGAACATTGTAAACAATTATTTTTTTTCATTCTGAAGCCCATAATGAAATGAATTTTAGATCACACTGGCAAGTGGAAGATGCTGCAGTATTACACACAGGAGTTTTTTGCGCCGATCATAATTACTGGACACATAAACGCCGAAAGGACTTTAGAAACATACATCGTCTCCGACTTGCTGTCGCCAGTACTCAACGTGACTGCTTCCATTCAAGTCTATAACTGGAGCTCTTTGGATAGTATCCTTGAAAAGAAATTAACGTTAGATTTGGTAAGGCTCCTTATTAAATGCAAATTGTTTTGTTAGTTATGGTTGTGAAGTATGTATTAAAAAAGCATAGGTAACTGTCCTAGATTTGTGACTCCCACACGTTTCGTGTATCAAGTTCACATGATTAGGAGCTGAATAATAGATACTTGTTTAAAATGACAATGATTTTTAGGAAGCGGGAAAGTCTCATTTAATCGATTCCTTCGATATTGACGATTTCTTAACCGATGCCAAATGTGGCGAACTGAATACTGCTAGATACAACTGCTTAATATACTTAACTTTGTACAAAGAGGGTATAAGAATTGCCCCAGATAATTTTGTCCTGCCTGACAAGATAAAATCATCACGAGTTCAGCAACCAAAATTGCAGGTATGTGTCTTAACACACACAGTTTTCTAAAACTATTTTAATTTTACGTTAAACATGTATTTGATATAATTTCATCTGTTCCTTAATTAAAATGAAGAAATTTGAGGTCGCATGTTTCCAATAATTTTATAGTTATACACTCTGTGTAATTTGTTTCATAGCTGAGCGGAGTAACAAAGCAAAGTGACGAAGGAATTTACGAAATAGAAATCGCCACAGACAATATCGCATTGTTTGTATGGTTGGATACCAATAAAATCAAAGGACGATTTTCGGATAACGGATTCTTACAAGTCAATGAATCTAGGAAGGTATACTTTTACAGCGAAGAAGAAACAACAGCGGAAGATTTGCAGAAAGATTTGACCATCACTAATTTACTTGATGATGAATATGTTACTAGTTAAAGGAATTGAACAATAAAATCTATTGCAGTATATACATTTTTTTAAACACTACCTAAAACCTGAGTGTGTAATCTAAACTGAACTATATGAATGGATATTTTATCCCCAATCTTAATCAGCTTAAGTATAACAAAGATATTAAAAAATATGATCTCTAAAACGAATCAATACGACCCTGTATACAGAAAACAGTACAAGCTAAATACTACATAGCAGGCAGAAAGTATCTTTTTGGGATACTTGCATGTACAGGCTGGTCCATTTTCGGTGGGATTTGAGGGTACTTCAGAAACTACTAAAGATATGATAAATCTGACACCACGTTCTCAAGCTCTATTTTCATGGCAAACTCGACTGTCAAATCAGAAATTTGCTATCTTCATTTGTTTCTGAGTTACAGGGCTTTTCTAATTATAGTGACACTTTTGAATATGTCTGTATCTCAGCTGTTAAATAAGGTAGAGTAAAAGAGAAAACTGCTCAAGACTAATTCTTTGGCGTAGAATTGAATGCTGGTATTAGATTTTTAGTAGGTCTTAAGATTCCAGAGTTATGACCCAGTTTTTTTTTTAATGGAAATCGTAGCTGGTCATGACCTAAAAAAATGGAGATTTTTTTTTGCTTTTCAGCAATATATCACATGTTATAGTTTTACAAACACAGAAGATACAGGGTGTTTTATATTTGTATTTAACTTTGAGTCATAACTCCGAAATCTTAAGACCTACTAAAAATCTAATATTGGCATTCAATTCTACGCCAAACAATTAGTCTTGAGCAGTTTTCACTTTAACTCTAACTTATTTAACAGCTGATATACAGACATGTTCAAAAATGTGACAATAACAAGAAACGCCCTGTAACTCAGAAACAAATGAAGATATATAGCAAATTTCTGATTGACAGTCGAGTTTGCCATGAAAATCGAGCTCGAGAACGTCATGTCAGATTGATCATATCTTTCTTTTAGAGATGTGTTGCTCTTTTACTGTCTGCTACTTTGGCACTGTTCCGCAGTTGTCACTGGAGCTGACTGTTCCGCTGCGACAAAAGAAGCAGTGATTTTTCGGAGCGTTTACTGCAAAGTGCAATTTACTAGCGCCAGAGACAGCTCAGGTGTGCCGGCCACAGCAGAGCAGATTCTCGCTCAGCCGGCACAGTAGCAGAATTAGTCACAGTGTCACACACTAAACATATAATACAGTCGCGTTTGATTTAAAGACATTGTATTTCAGCGACTAGAGCAAGGCGTGTATTGCTGGTTGCTGCTCTACAAATATTTTAAAAGTTTTTGTTTACAAAATCACTTAAAACTTAGACTAAGCAAAAAACATGCGACTGTTCTTCATTTGTTTTTGTTGCACTCGCGGAAAAATTTTGAATATCTGGCACTGTACTCACTGTAGGATGTCGTTGTTCTATGTGTCTTTTTAAATTGGTGATTGAAGATTTATAACAAATATTTTGCTTGCATATATTACAACAAGCTTTACTTTCATACGTTGGTAAAAATAAATTCCACAGGAAAGATTTTCTTCGTTTATCCATGTCCAATTTTATTTGTAATAAAAATTTATCANTTTTCAACTTTTCAACTTTTCAACTTTTCAACTTTTCAACTTATCAACTTTTCAACTTTTCAAGATAAATAAAGACAACCGTTAAAATATTAAAAATAAAAAAAATTATTATTATTATTCTATGATTCTACAATACAGAAATGTGTATATAAAATATTTTTTATTCCATGTACAAAAGAAAAAAAAAACATAAATCTTGAATAAAAAAAGAATTTATATAAATATACTATTCTAACATTCGATTTGTACAGATTGCCGACACTGGTAAAAACTCGAAATAGCCCAAATTGGCGACTGGCTATTTTTGCTTTTTTTCAAGTAGCCGAAAGTCATCTGAGATAGCCCAATTGGCGATAAGTAGCCCAATCTGGCAACCCTGACTCTGACGCGGAAATAAGGGAACATATCACGGTAAGAATGTATGCGCGCGCTACCAGGAGCTGTTCCGAAAAATCGCAGCTATTTGTCACTGCCAAAGAGCATGGGGGTGAAAGTGAATAGGAATGATTGAAACAGAGCTGATTGTTGCGCCATCTGTGATTTCTGCACACAAATTTCTTCAAATCACTGCCGTTTCAAACCATTCTGTACAGTTACCTATAATGAATATTTTAATATTGAGTTTGCTCCTTATGATAAGCAGTGTTGTCAGATCAACTACAATTACTAAGATTTACGTTAATTTGAAAATTTTCTGGCAAATAATAATTGATAACAAGCCTCTAGTAATAGTATACTTTCTTTCTTACACCTCTTTTGATTTTTTTTTCAGTGCAGAGAGGAGGGTGAAAAAGAAAATGTATGCTTCAATTGAAAATAAATGTATCTGTAATACTATTTATTTACACTTAGTAAGCAGATTTTATTCAAATCATTTTGCACATTGATAACAGAGTAAATAAAACATTCATTCTATACCTATTTAAAAGTTTTGATTCCCATACTTATTAAGGTATACCATTATTCTTAGGTTATAATGAAGGTCGCGGATTTCTCAAACGTTTTTCGTTTCGTTTTTTCTTTTATGAAGTTTATAGTAACTTTCTTTTTACTTTCCGGTTTTTTTTTAATAATTATGTATCCACAATCTGACAACTCTGTACTGAGCAGTGGTGCGGGGGATCACGCAATTTACTCGCGCTCTCGCGGATTAATAATAATTAATATCTATTAGGCAATTGTTGATTTTTAAGTTCGAATTTTAAAATTGTGACAGTATTGTTTTATACATACTAACAATGGATTCGAGGAAAAGAAATTGTTCTGTACCTAACTGAAGAGAAAATTTCAAGACGGTAAGTTATTTTAATAGTTAATAGTTAGTTTAATAGTTTTGATTTATTGAAAACATTATACATTTATTACGTATGTATTAATTTTTCCAGTTTTTCACTACCTACAAATGTAGAGGTGAGAAATATTAGGATAGAACGTATTGGTAGTGATCGTTTACTAGCTGTTACTGAATCAAGAATTAGAAATGATGTAATTTGTGCAAATCACTTTCTTGAGATATGTTTTGATGCAAGTGGAAAACTTCTTAATAACTCTCTCCCAACGATAAATCTACAAGGTAAGATCTTTCTACTTCTCCTTTATAGAACAGTACTGCTTATATATAATATATTAAAGTATGGAAATAAAAATTAGTAATTCTCTAAGTATTAATTCACCTATCTTTTTTAAAATAAAAACTAGTCATTTATTTAATGATCAAAGTTTTTCTGGAAATGTTGAATAATAAGATTATATTTTTATTTTTGCTAGACGTTGGATTGAAATATTTTCAAAAAGTAATTTATTGCATAATATTTTTAGGTTTTAAAGATGTTCCTTCCAGAGCCAATAGTTTTATGTTAAGAGATTCGTCAGCTACTTCTGGATTTCTTACCCCAAAGATATTAAAAGGTAAATTTTTAACTTATACATTTTAGCATTATACCTAATTTGCAAAACTTAATTTATTTATCTGTTTTAGATGCTCTTGAAGCCACATCTTCAAAATCTACCATGACAGGTGAGAGTCCTGTGGGGCCAGTACAAATACCTAGTAAAGTGTACGCTAGAAGAAGACGATTATTTGAAGCATCCGAAGAAATATGCCAACCTCATGTCAGCATTGAGTGTAAAGAAACTTTACAAGAAATTAATCATCACCCCCCTAATCAGCCCTCAAAAGATAGTGTTGAATTTGCTGGATCATCACAATATGCTATTGAATCTTCAAGATATGGGAAGTTAAGTTCAGCTTCAAATAATGTAACAGTCCAACGTAGGTAATAACTATCACAAAAAAATTGTTTAAAAATATATTATGTAGAATTATTATACGATAATTTGATAATATTTAAAGTAAATTTGAAATCATTAGCAATTTTAAAATTATAATTTTTTATTAAAAAGGGTTATAATAATACTTCGTACATATCCTAATAGAAACTCGAGAATACCTTAAGGGTGATCGTCACTTAATGCATCCCTCTTCTTCATTTTATAGAGCATTCAGACACATGGCTAATATTATTTTTTACATGATACCGAAACTTATAATATCCTATGGTATTAGGCAGGAAATTATAAGGAAACTTGAAACAGAGGAAGATATTGGCTATGTGTTTTGTGAAGAGCATGAGAATAACAAAAAAGTTATGTACAAAATTTGTGCAAATATTATTCTTTTCAATTATATTTCAAAAGTTAATAAGATATTAGGTGGAACTGACCTGCGTCATAAAGATGATGATCAATTGACAAGGATGGCATATGCAAAATTTGCTCAAAAAAAAGGTAGACAATTTTTTACCAGTGTATAATATAATTAATTAATTATGAATATTATGTATACTTCTCTAATATTTTTTTCATAGATAACGTAAAATTATATTATTTTTTACTGTCACAGTTCTTTAATTGAAGATTTATTTTCATTGTTTGAGAGTTATTAAAATAAACGCTGAACAACAAAATACATGTACCTACCTGCCTTGTACAAATATCTGAAATTAAATTCAGTTATTGATATTTCTGTTTCTGTTTTTTCTATAGAAATTTTAAAAAATATATCCATGCACATATACATTGATTTTGCCCTATTTCAAGGGGTATGCATTTTTGACATGTTTATTTATGTCACACCATTTTTAGTTCCTAAAACTCATTGTGTGTTTTTAAAAATGTATTTACTTGTGCTGTAACTTTGAGTAAATCCTTTTAATAAGATGATAATGACGAATAAATTTTGCTAGACCCCATATTTATTTGTGAATATAACTTTTGATGTAAAATTTATATTCCGATTTATGTATTAAATAAAATATTGCAAACATTTACTTGTTTTTTTTAAATGTATTTAAACAAAATGTTCTCATCTCGTCTAATGTCTATGTAGTTAATAATAGGTTAACGTTTTCGCATTACCTTGTTAAGTTTGTTAACATTTAAGTGACTGTAAAATGAACAGTCCCATGTATTATTGATGTATAATTGATTTGTTCCATCTCCATTTTCATTCAAATTGTCGTTCTATTGTTATAAGGCATTTTAAAATTATTTTAATCTATCTTCGTTAAAAACAAATCGGTGAATATGGAAAACGTAATATCCTCTAAAATATTCATTGATTTTTTTTTAAATGAAGGTAGATCAAAACTATTTTCAAATAACTTATGATGCTAAAATGACAATTTGAAAAAATGGGATGGAACAAATTAATAATAAAAGATTATTTAGTAGGAATATGTACCCAAAAATCACCCCAATTACAGATTCCTACGTTTCCTACATATGGAAAGTTCTGTGCAGAAATTATAGATGGCGCGGCAAGCCTTTGTTCCAACAAAAATAAACAGAGTGCGCTATCTATACTTGTTCTTATCTATGCCAAAGAGAATAAATTAGTTTATTCTCTTTGTCACTGCTCTGTTGCCGGACCAGTAGCAGATGTCACTGCTCCGCAAAAAGAGCAGTTTAGCCCATCTCTACTTTCTTTAGTAGTTTCTGAAATACCCTGAATTCCCATCGAAAATGGACCAGCCTGTACACTGTACAGGGTGATTCAAAACTTCTAAAAAATATATTTTAATATCCGGGGCTCTTACAAATACAATATTGTAAAAAAAATTAAAAAGGGCAATTCGAAAATAATTTAAAAATACACTTTTACACTGCACTGGAAACTATAGTACACTGTAAAACCTGACCTTACGCGAGGCAAAGCAAGCAGTCGGCGACCGGCACGGCGGCAAAGTGTAATCAAAGATGAACGAACAAAAAATTGAAGAATCGTTTCTTTCCCAAGAAAAAAAAATATTCAGCAAATTCGATTGTTTCTGTCGCTATTGTTATTATTAATTAGTAAAATTAATTTGTTGTCTTAAATTAATAAAATAGTATGTTCAAAATTTTGTCCACTGACGTGTACACACATTTGAGCCCATCTTATCAAATTTTTACGAACTAACACAAATGCTGTCTTGCTTCACCATAAATTAAAACGATATCCATCAACTCCCGAGTTGTGCTATACACGTAAGCCATTTTTGACATTTGAAAAACTAATGTAAACACTATCGGAACAACGATAATACTAAAATCGGATTTTAGTATTCGGAATCGCCTAGGGGTACGTGGGCNCAATATATATTTGTATGACTAATTTTAATTAATGTCAGATTGAATCGTCAAAATAAATTTCACTATATTTAACGTTTCCAATTGAGGTTAGAAAATCACAACGAACCATAGATCGATGGAAGGATCAGACTGATTGATATTTAACGTATTTCGTAATTTAGGTTAGGTTAGGTTAGACGGTACCTACTACGCGATTTTTGACGTTTCTAATTGAGGTTAGAAAATCAGAAGGAACGTACTAATTGATATTCGATGTGTTTTGTATTTTAAGGTTAAGATGTCACACAGGATTGACAAGACGATATTTGACGTTTCTAATTGAGGTTATAAAATCAGTGGGGACCTACTAATTAATATTAGACGTATTTCATAGATGACATCGAGGTGAAAAAATCAGATGGACCTACTAAGCGAAAATGACGTTTCCAATTGATGTTAGAAAATTAGACGGGACTTACTGAATGATATTTGATGTATTTATTTATACCAAAACATTTTTGTTTACTGATCAGGGGCCTATTTCAAACTTTTTATATAGAACGTTTCGCGAAATTAACGCAGATTCGAAATGTGACAGCTTAAACAATGAACGACGACACTAGGCGCTGTCTCTCAAGTCAGACTAGAAAACTAGCATTTTGGCGGACGGCCTGGGTTTCTCCGCGAGATCCGAAGCGGCATAATCGCGCCTCATCTCCCTTCGTTCGTCGCTTAATCAAATTTTTGCAACTTTATATTCGCGTTTTCAAATGTACCTTTCTCCGTGGACTTCTCACCGACATACGGCCATTTTATAAGCGAAATGGAGATTCAAAGAACCGCGAACGCAAATCGACGAAAATCTAAAAATCACGAGGAATGTCAGATTGAAACTTCAAAACAAATTTCACGATGTTTGACGTTTCCAATTGAGGTTAGAAAATCACAACGAACCATAGATCGATGGAAGGAAAATACTAATTGATATTTGACGTATTCCGTAAGTAATTTAGGTTAGGAAATCAGACGGGACCATAGAACGTATAAACTACTGGTTTCGCACAACTTACATTGTGCCAATATAAACGGCAATGGCACAGACGTGTGCGAGAGAGATAGAGCTGGTGCGGGCCAATGGTTCGTTCACAAAACTTCAATTGTCGCGCGAATTAAATTAGATTTATTTTCGTTTAACAATACATATTTATATTACTAATTTTAATTAATTATTATTAATGAATAAGAGCACTATTTGTTTATATAGAATTTCTGTACAAATTGGAGGTATTAAAGGGGGAACGTAATATGTAACTAGAAATTTAGAATGAAATGCCGTAATTTAATGTTATATATGGATTCATCTTTTTAAACCTTTCTATAACAAAAAACTATAAATTTTCAAATAGGTACAGGGTGTCTAAAAAATAACGTTGAAACTCGAACGATCCAGAGGCTCCTATATATTTCAGTTTATTGATTGCAATATTTTTATGAAAAATCTTATATCGTACTAATCACATGCTTTTTGCAAAGGTATGTACCAAATGTTTCATAAAAATGACACAGGTGAACTTTCAGAAATTTATTGATGGCAATATTTTTATGAAAAATCTTATATTGTAGAACTCAAAGGCATTTTGCAAATTTATATACTGAGTGTTTCATAAAAATGACACAGGCGGACTAGGATTTTTTTCTTATTTCACTACCTATCTAAATTTTCAGATAGATATTTCTACACACGGTGTCTTACTAAAAAAATGTATTTTGCAATTTATGTACAGGATGTTTCATAAAACTGACCCAGGTGGATCAGATTTTCTCTGATTCATTTTGTTAATTTTTTTAAGAAATCTTTTGAAGAAAAGTTGTATATTTACTGACCAGCCGCTTTTTAGAAAATCCATATATGTACTGGGTATTCCGCAAAATCGACCACATCTGGATTATGGGACGCCCGTGATAGCAAATTTTGAAAATTTATATCTGGAAAGTACTCGGAATGACAAACCTATTAGTTCAAAAAACAGCGCTTATACTCTTATAGTTTTGCTGTAAATAAGGGTTAACTTTAACGGGCTATGACTTCGAAAATAATGGGCGGATCATCAGTTTTTTTTTAAATACTCATCTTTCCGAGTAAGTATTGTCAAACCATATTTTAAAATTAAAAAAAATTTAAAACAGGGCGTTTCAAAAAATGTTATATCTACTAACCAGCGAGGAAAGCACCGCGGAGCGGAGCTCGGGCTGCGCGCAGCGCGGCCCGAAGGCCGGAGGCCCGAGAGAAAGGTCAAACTCCGCGTCAGCGGAGTTTGCCTACCTTTCTAGTTATTCATATTATTTGTATCGCCACTTTTATAAATAGGTACAACCCTCCCAGTTTTCAGAGAGTCTGGAAATGCGCCACACACGAAGGATAAGTTAACGAGATACGTAATTGGATCTATAATACAATCAATAACTCTTTTTATTAAAAAAGTTGGTATATCAGCAGAACCTGATAATTTTTTGTTTTTAATTTTCTTTTCAGTAAAGTCAGAATTTCAGCCGGAGTAAATGGATGTAAATACATACTGCAACGATTTTTTGTATAAATATTATTAATATTCAAATTGTCTGCCCTATTAGGTATAAGGTCAACTACTCTCTGAGGGGCGCTTATAAAA